GTCTAGATTCATCATTAACTCAAAGTGTACTTTCATGATCTATCAACTAAGGAACAACCAGGTAGGATCATATCGGAGGTAAGGTCTGTTTGGTATACAAAGTATACTATTTGGAAATCTCACTTTAAACACCTCACTAAATCACAGCCTAGACATCTTACCCGTAAGTAGATCAATCATTATAAAAAATTTGAATCACTGATAAATCTTGTTTATAGGTTCATAATAACGATAATGAACTTAAACATAAGTTATACTTTAAGTAGGGTAAGCATAACTGACTTACAAAATGGTCTAGAAAGGAATCAGGCTCTACGTGGGAAAAACTTCTAAGCTAAAAGCTTTTCTTCTTGGGGCCTTCTGGCTCTATGCGACTAGCTACTAACACCTAGGAGGTGATAGGGAAAGGCTTAGAGGGTTTGAGAGTGTTTAAGAGAGAAATGGTTGAGAAGGTGTGAGTTTTTGAGTGCGAAATGGGCTCTATTTATAGGCTGTGAAGTTTGCATACGCGGGGCGTACATAATAGGTACACTGGGCATACTCGGTATGCAAGTCATTCATAGAGATATGTTGGGCATACTTAAGCTATGTGTTGGGATCTCATGCAAAGTCGTGGGGAAGAAGGTGCAACCTAGATCTTGCCACGTGTCACTTCCGGAGCTTAACCCAAAAATTAATTATCTTCTAAATTCCATAACTTTTGCATACGAGCTCCGTTTTTGACACTCTTTATATCCACATGTAGCTAGCGACGTGATCTACAAATTTGGTTTATACTTCGTCGACTCATTTTGAATTTATTTTTAAATTTATTTTTAACACGCTTCGACAGTTAAAGTCCGTTAAAAATTCATAACTTTGTCATCCAACGTCTATTTTCGACTGTCTTTATATTGTTTATCTCCTATTAAAAAGATCTTCAATTCTCGTTTTGGTTGTTTCGGCTAATAATCGATCGATCTAAAATTCGATTTTCCCGCTATATACTGTTATGCTAAATCTTAGAAAAATCATAACTTCCTCAAACGAAGTCAGATTTGGATGTTCTCTATATGGACACTCACATTTTAAGATATACTACAACTTTCATTTAGATCTCTAAGGCTAAAAGTAGTTTTTCAAAAATTCACTTTTTATGATACACAACATCGTGTCGGTCTAGTCGTACAACTTCGACAAGTCATAACTTCTTTGTTATAAGTCAGTCAAATTTTAATTCTGTTTTTGACGTATACTTTTATTATTATTTTATTATATCGTTATAAACACATATGTTGCACCTAAATTACATAAATCAAATAATACTCAAATAATTCATCCTCGTTACTTCAAAACAAATTAAAATTGTTGGCCCTAACAATTACATTATCATAATAATGCTTAGCCAGAAATGCGGGTGTTATAGCCAATTTCAGACTAGGATGTTTGCTTCACCTCCAAGTTTTGGAGGAAGTTTCATGAGGATTTGGGTACTCAGTTGCATTTTAGTATGGCGTACCACCCTCAGACTGGTGGCAAGAGTCAGCATATATTCAGACACTCGAGAACGTGCTCTGGGCTTGTGTGTTGGATTTTGGAGGGAGTTGGGACACTTACCTTCCACTGGCTGAGTTCTCTTACAATAATAGTTATCATGCCAGTATTGACCAACCACCATTTAAGATGTTGTATGGAAGAAGGTGCATGTCCTCGATATGATGGAGGGGGGGTCGGATATTGAGTCATGGGAAGCACATAGGTGGTACTCAATACTACTGAGTTTAGTCAGCAAGTGTGTGATAAGTTGAAAGTAGTGCAAAGGCAACATAAGATTTATGCCGATCAGCAAAATTAGGACCTCGAGGTTTAGGTAGGAGACTTGGTGCTTTTAAAGGTGCACCTTGGAAACACGTCATCCGATTTCGTAAGAGGGGCAAGCTGGGGCCCATATTTATCTAACCTTTTAGGATTTCGGCCCGAGTGGGCAAGGTTGCATACCGGTTGGATTTTCCTGATGATCTCAGTCAAATCCATCACATCTTCTATGTGTCTCAGCATCGGAAGTGTGTGGCCGATAAGTATGCAATTGTTCCTCTGGATGATATTCAGGTTGATGACCGCCTAAATTATACGGAGAGATTGATGGTGATTTTAAATCGGAAGATGAAGGCTCTATGTAAAAAAGAGGTGTAAAGGTCCATTGGCAGCATTAGAAGGGTTCTGAATGGAGATGGGAGACCGAGGTGAAGATTCGAGAGCACTACCCAGACTTGTTCGCCAAAGCAGATTTCGAGAGTGAAGTCTAGTTCAATTTGGAGAGAGTTTTAACTTTTATTTTTCAAATATTTTCTTTTGGACCATTGAGATATGAATTATTTGCAAAATGGGTCCCAAAGGGTAATTCGGTGACTTTTGGGTGTAGCTTGAGTATGCTTAGCGTACTAGGCCCCGCGCCAAAATCTGCAAGTACTCCTGTACATTGGGCATACGTGGTTCAGACCAAAACCCTAATATTTATGATTTTCACACTATGCAAACATTATTATGTTCCTAAGACCTTTCCCGTTATCAACATGCACCTCAAGATCGACCCTCCTTGCAAGCCCTAATCTAATTTGAGCATTTTAAGTCTTTGAGTGAGTTGTGTGCTTCCTTGTGTGTGAGAAGGACCTTCAAGTTGTAGGCTTTACTCTCAAGACTTTGGATCCAACATCTTCACTTCATTCTATACCATTTGGAGGTATAAAGTACCAAACATGGCTTATGTCTATTTAGATCTTAGTCAAGCCTTAATTCTCACCCTTTTGTCCAAAAATGAAGAGCTTGGTGAGTAAGAGTACTCCATAGCATTTAAGGTGTCCTTTAACACGTTTTAAGGCCTTATAAGTCATAAAAATGCAAGCTTTGATGAAGTATTGAATCGAGAATTGAAATGTAAATCAAAATTATGAGAATTAAGAACACCGAATGTAAATAAGATCTGGTTTCAGCTTCTATTATGTTTCAAAGTTTACAAAGAGAAAATAGACAAGATAGACCTATGGTTCATATCTAACTCTAAGTAACACTCCTATTTATAGGAGAAAAATAAAGCATACAAAAAATTACAAAGGACTAAACAATAAGATTCGACATACAATTCCTTTGTAAAATAACATTACAACCTCGACATCTTACAACCTAACTTCGACCTTAACAATCTCTCCCATTGTAAGCAATGTCGAAATCAGTTGATCCAAAGTTGACCTGCCATGAGTAATGTTCAACGAATCTTAGCATACCAATTGATCACCTTATTCAGTTCTGCTTTATCACCATTGTTGTTCTTTTTTCAATTGTTCATACAAACAATTAAGTTCGTATAATGAGCAGTTGTATATCTTTCAATTTCACATGTTTGGAAAAAATACTTCAATGATTTACCCTTTTTACTTTTTCCAGGAAAAACTACCCCAAATGGCTTCAACCAAATTTATCCGTCTACAAATTTCTTCAATTGAGCTTCACTAAACACTTTTTCCAGAGCGACAGTTATTTCTTTTCCAACTGAAGCAGCCAAATTAATATCTCTCAATGTTAGACAATCATAGTAATAATCTCTAAAAATTTTGATATGACCAAATCCCAAATGTATATCCTCTTTGCTGGTATTTTGAAGTTTTGGAGCATCAATGTCTTTGAGCATGTAAGCAACTTGAATCAGGTCATTCAAGTTAATCAAAGGGAAATCGGCAATGGAGAAATCGAAAGGAACCTTATTCGCCCTTACTACATGATAACGAAAGTTTGTTGCATGTTCTCAAAGAGTTCACCTTTCGAAATGCCAAGTAGTTGTGTAATTTTTACCAAAGACCAAACTTTCTCAAGATCTTTTCCCAAAACTGCATGAAACCTTAATTTCATGTGAAAGAAATCCTCTTTTTTCTTAAATCTCTCAACCACCTTGTACTGAGCAGAAAGAAACAACATTTCATTGATAGGAAAATCAAGCTGATTAAGATCAGAATTCTCAATTGCATTACTTTTCCTGGGCTTTTTCTCAAACTCATACATTTCATTAAAAGGTACCATGGCTTCAATATTTTCATAACTATGCAGCTTCCTTGGATCTCCCTTATTCATATGTACAGGATCATTTTGTCGTTGTCTCACAACACTTGCAATTTGTCTTTGAATATCCAACTCTACTTCAATCTCAGCCATTCTTTCATATTTAGACTTTTAAATAAGAATTTTCTTTCCACTATCTTGAATTAGAGGAGTTTCCTTTGGTTTTGACTGACTTCCCCATTCACCAGATGAACCAATTACAATGCTTCAAAATTGGCCATGTAGTAACCACCGTTGAAATTACTGGCTCAGCATTCAACACTGTGGGTTTTGACATTAGAATTTGAGTTGTATAAAATTTTCCAACTACCTTTGCTTCTTCATTTATCACACCTGATGCACCTTCTCCTTTACCAACCTTCATCGGCTCTCCCGCTTGCATCCCTGTAACAACATCCGGTCTTCGAGATTAAAGCTTTTTACTCGTTCAACAAAGTTATGATTTCAGTAAAGTTTTTACTTTCACTAGTAGACAGTTGATCAATCTGAGGACGCAAAGTTTCATACAACTTAACAAACTTCATCATTGCATCGACAATGATGTCTATTTTCTGATTTAGAGATGCATAATCCTGTTGTGCAATAGAAATCTCTTTAGACATGTCTTCTCGAAGTTCTTGAAGTTTCAAGTTCACATCTTCCCAAACCTTCTTCACGTCTTGAACGAATAAAACATGACGTTCTTTGGCAACACTTTTAAAATCTCTGAATTCCTCAAAGAAAGTTGAAGACTGTGCTTCATCCTGAGCTCATTATTCTTATCATTACCATCCACCTTTTCAAGAATTCGAGATTCAGAAGTTTGACTCAAACCAGAAAATATATTTATCCATCTAGCTTCTTGTGCTTTGAGTAGCACATCAATTTCGAAACTCGACACAAAATTCCTTCCCCCCTGCATCTGCTTGAGATTAAAGGATAGAGTTAGGCTTCTTGTTCAAAATCTTGAATTGCCTACCTGACATCAATATATGATCTAGGATGTCTTCTTCTTCTTGATCAAATTCAAGATCATCAAAAGTACTTCCAAATCCTCCATCATCAGTCTCAGTATCATCAATGGATTTGGGTGGATCAGTGGATTGTGAAGAAAATAGTGAAATGATGGGTTGATTGAGAATATGAGTAAATGTTGGTGAAGAGGAGACTGGAATTGCAGGAATAATAAATGGTGGTAGGAAACAAGGGTATTGACAGTAGTTGTGTCGATAATACCTTGAGTGATCATAGGATGCTCTTTATTTGAATCTCCTTCACCCATAGTGACATTTACATTCATATCGGATATGTGAGTAAGAATTTATGATGTTCGAACCTCCTCATGAGATGACTTTGTTAATGAAACCTCAGGTTGAATGATTGGAGTCTGCTCAGGAGTCGAAACATGTCTTGAAAGAACCGCTTTGGGAGTTTCGGGAATTTCTTCATCATCTGAAGATATCTTTTGAAGGACCAACTTCCACTTTTTAATTTGTTTTTAGATATGCTTAGCCATATCTGTAGCTCTTCACTTCTTTGATGAAGGGGACGTTGGATCTGGAACTTCTCGAATAATTATCTCCCTTTTTTGAGTGACATGTGGCTTATGTGTGAAGGATAGGGAAAAGCCTGAAGACCTTTCAGGAGACTTTCGAGAAGGATAAGTTTTTTTCTTGATTCTTTTAAGGACTCCAGACTTTTAGGGAATATTCTCTGTATGAGTTTCAACTGTTGGAGTCTCAATAGCCTCAGTAGTAGTCATTTTTTCAGCCTTCTTGGATCTTCAAGATTTCTTTCAAGACTCTGCATCGGTTTTGGCCAACGGAACACCTGTTTCTTCATTTGGATTAATTGAAGCTAAATATGTCATTAACACAGGATTAGTTGGATCAATACGCTTGAGCATAGCATCTGGAATACGTGCAACATTTGGAAACACTTCTGCATCATCCTCAACCTTCTTCGGAAATTTATACTTCAAAAACTCAACAATGTGTTCATCAGCAGGTATCTCAATCCTTTCCTTTTCATACATAAAATGAAGAATTAAGCTCCAATACCTAGCATAAGAAATCCCTTCTATAACATTGGTATTCTCATCACTCTTTAGAAACTCTTTCCACATTTTACTTGAATAATCCACAACAAGATCATAGTAAATCCCCGCAACCATAACATACACTTCCATTCTGCCTTTGTGTAAGTCAACACTCTGACCAGTAAGACAACGAATAAAAAATGGCAAAAAGAAAGTTCCATATAGAAGGAAGACCAAATTTCTTGAACTGACTGATCTTAATCAGCTTGATTAAGATCAACAACAATTCATTAAATTTCTATTTCGTTTGAATTTGTTTTTGGTTGATTTTGAATTTTTCGAAACCTCATCAGCATTTTCTTCATCATTGCTGTCTTTTTGACTATCTTTGACAGTCACATGATCGAAATCACAAACTTTCGAAGTTGAGGGTTTATCAGTTTCAATCTTAACCAATGAATCATTACAAATTTCTTTACATTTAGCCTTCGATGTGACATTAATGATAGTTAACTGAGAACAATCAATGCTTTCCTCTTCCTCAATGTTACTGATTTCGCTAAGACAATCAGAAATGTCTTCGATATCAGCAAAATAAGATTGAGAGTCTAATTTTGAATTCTTGGTCCTTTTCAAAATTTTTATTTGTTCAGTTTTGGTCAAGATATCATTCATAATATTAACTAATTCATTTGCATCAAGATATTCGTCTATTTTCACAATTCCATAACCATACATATCATCAGGAATTCTATCAAATTCTGCTATGGTTTTCTCACAATCATAAGAAATGCAATCAACATTCTCTCTTTCTTAAACTAGAAAATGTAATAAATTTCTATGTTGTTCCTTGCTTATGTTACAAGAATGATACAAAGCAGTTAGTTTAGCATACAAACGTTTAGTAGAATTACAATAAATGTTGCGTTGGACTAATAGCATTTTTACTTCACTACTTAATGAGTCCTTATCACAAATCAAATTTGTAATTTGCAATTCTAAATATTCAACTTTTATCTTTTTTGAATCTAACTCCTTCTGCACTTTTAGTAACTGAGAGGTTGATTTCTTAGTTTCGTTACTAGCAGAGATGATCAATGTATCAAAATAAGCAACAGTATTATCAAAAGCAACTAATTCAGAACCATAAGCATTCAAAGGAATATTAAATGATTGAAGGATAGAAGGCACCTTAGGAATCATTGGAGATTTGTCCCCTCCTTTGGTCATAAAACAATGACCAGTCACCAGTTCGTCATTTTCATCTTCATGCTTTGCAAACATGGCACCATGCGTAGGATTACGCATTTCCTCATCATCCAAACCTGGTGACCATATCTGATAAATTCTTTCATCATCATCTTCAACCTTCACAACTAGAGACATTCCTTTTGCTTTTTCCCTAACTTCTTCCAACCGCTTAACATAGTATGCTTCGTCTTTGATCATGTTCTTCTTTTCCTCCTTCTTACGAAGTTGAAAATCACTAGCCATATGATTAGCTCCATGGCAGTAGTGACAATCAATACCAAAATCTCCTTTAAGATTCTTCTCAACTGTCAACTCTTTTTCCTCCACATCCTTCTTTTCACTCTTCTTTTTCTCTTCTCCTCCAGCTTTTGTTACAAATTTTCCTTTCACCTCACTGGTTTTCGACTTAGAATTGAAAGGTTTCATGAAAAACTTCTTTACTATATTATAAGAGTAAAAATCAACTCCCTCATTGTCTGAATTTTTGATAAAATCTTCTTCATTGGAACTCTCATTTTTAATCTGGTCCTTCTCAGTAACTTTCGAAAATAATGCCAATGGACCTCCCAAAGTTTGTTTTGATTCTTCATCCATTTCATTCATTTCTGCTTAATGAGTTTTCAGAAGATTGTATAGATCATTCAATGTTGATGTGTAGAAGCTTTGTTGGGTTTTTATCATCAACGTCATATTCCTCCATTCTTTACGCAAACCCATGATGAACGTCAGATTGAATTCCATAGTTGTTCTTGTAATTTCATGACGATGACACATGTAGATTAATTCATTCAATCGATCATAATAACCTTCAATTGATTCCCCATCCTTTTGCTTGAATTCTTTTAATTCAATCAAACAATGTTTCATAGAATTGATCTTAGTCTTCTCACTTCCTTGAAAATTTTCTTTGAGAGTGCTCCATATGTCTTTTATACTTTTACAGCTTCTGACATAGTTATAGACCATAGGAGGAAAAGCACCACATAATTCTCTCATGCATCTTTTCTCATTCTTTTTCAGTCGATCAGATTGAGTTTCAACACTTGGAGTAGCAGAAGATAATCCAATTGGTTAAACATTTGATGGAGGAATTCCATTTCCAGTTATACATGACCAAAGCTCCACATCAATTCCGTTCAAATAGTCTTGCATGCGATCAGCCCACAGATCATAGTATTCAGGGACGAGCATAGGAATCTTAGTTGAAGCTCCTAGCAGATGTAAATAGGATATCATTGAGTCATCGTATGAATGGATTTTTCTGAAAAACTTAAAAGATTTTGAACACAAACTGCTGAAACAATAAGATATTCCAAATAGAATACTCGATTCAACAAATCAGGTGCAGAATCGAATCACAACTGTTGATCAAGAACAATTTTCCCAGCAAAAGGTGCATCAAGTTTTGAATCAGAAATTGATTCGACAACCTTTTGATTCAAAATGAAAATCAAATCGCAGAGATATGATTCCTACTCTGATACCATTGATGAAGTATTGAATCGAGAATTGAAATGTAAATCAGAGTTATGAGAATTAAGAACACCGACTATAAATAAGATTTGGTTTCAACTTCTATTAAGCTTCAAAGTTTACAAAGAGAAAAAAGACAAGTTAGACCTCTGGTTTTTATCTAAGTCTAAGTAACACTCCTATTTATAGGAGAACAATAAAGTATACAAAAAATTACAAAGGACTAAACAATAAGATTCGACATACAAAGCCTTTGTAAAATAACATTACAACTTCTACATCTTACAACCTAACTTCGACCTTAAAAAGCTTGGATCTAGATTTTTCCCCATGAAATAGTTATGGTAAAGAAAATGTTTGAGTAAGCTCAGTTGTTAGTGTTGGGCTTCTTGCGGCCATGCAAAGGCATAAATTTTGCAAATTTATGGCCTTAGGGGTCTTATTAAGCTTAGATCTAAGTTTTGGTTGTAAGGTCTTAAGGCATTAAGACCTTGTATTGATTTTTTCCTTCGGGTGCGTACGTTGGGCGTAACTCCCAGTACATTGTGCATACTATACCTCATTCGCCACCCTTTCCCGCTCCGACTGAGTACGTTGCGCATACTAGTTGGTATGTTTGGCGTACGACCCAATCAAGCTTGGGTGGTTTTCGGGACTTTAATCATCTGGGCTTGCTTGTGGGGCTAGATCATAGATTCTCATGGTAATAGATGACTTCTAATTTTGGGCCCATATTGGACTTTGGATGATTTTTAATTTTAGGCCTATGATTTTATTTGGCTTAAAATAATAGGATAACTTGGACCTTTTTACCTTGAACATTAAGCAGGTAATGTAGGTTTTTATCTATGGCTTATGTCCCAATTATTAATTTGAGCTCTGTTTGTTTAGTTTGCCTGAGGATTTCTCTAGTCCAACAACTCAAGTGTTTATCTGGTTTTTCAGTAGTTGAGCTGAGTTTCCTCACCAGATCCATGGTTCGCATACACCAATGTCAGCCCATCGTTTATTGTGTAGAATGTTGGATCCTTTGTGATTATTACATGGAAGACCAACATCTGGACCCCAACATTTGTATGAAGCCCCTGGCAGTTATATGAAAGACCAGGATCTGGCCCCTGACATTTGTATGCGCGACCAAAATTAGGCCCTCAGCACCAAACGAAAATACCATGGTTTGGCCCATGGCAAGAAATGATTATATGAATATTCTTTAGACCATAGTATTATCTTTTTTCATATGTGGTATGTGGTACTCGGGAGAACTCACCAAGCTTTATCCTTACAGTTTATGTTTATGGATTAAGGTACATCTAGTCCAAAGGGAAAGATTGTCACAACTGAAAAAAATTAGGTTAATATGTGAATTCCTGAACAATATAATCTCCTTGTATAAGCCCAAAACTCGATCCACTAAGCCAAATTCAATCATTTCAGGCCTGAGCCTAAGAATTCTCAACCCAAAACCCTTATTGGATCAATACTTCCTTATTGGGCCGTGAATACCTTTATTAGGTTATCGTGGACCCAATACTCCA